GGACTGGGCAGGTTCCGCGGACGGAGGCTGTTGTCTCCCCGCAGGGCGCTCTCCGTGCGCTCCGGAGGCCCCGCGCTCCCGGGCGACCTGGGCCTGCAGACTCTGGTTCCCTGCCCCACAGACTAAGCAGAAGGCTGGAGTGGCCCCGTCAGTGCCGAAGTAGACTTCAGGGAGTGTTGCCAGAACTAAAAAGGGGCATTTCATGAAGATAAGGGGGCAATTCATTAAGAAAAAGTAATAGTGCGTATACATACACCAAATAAGCTTTGAAATACTCGGGGAAAATGGATAGAACCAGGAGTAACAGTCAAACACACACTCATTATTAGAGATTTTTAACAGTCTTCTCTTGGTAATTGATAGGACGGGGAGACACAAAAATAAGATACAGAAAAATTAAAAAAAAAATTAACTTATTTGACCTAAATAATACCCCCAGGAAACAATACACAACACATTGTATTTCATGAAAGGTGTTCAAAGTCTTTATACTGAACTTTCAAGGTATTACTAAGAAGAATTAAAGATTTTAAATACATATGTAACATTCACAAAATATACCATATGGAGGAAATAAAACAAGTCTCAATATATTGATTTCAAAGGGTTGAAATCATATAGACCCCACTGTGACCACCACAATGAAATTATACACTCATAGCCCTGGCAACTGTGGCCCAGCTGGTTCCAGCGTCATCCTGGGCACCAAAGGATCATGGGTTTCATTCTGGGTCAGGGCCCATGCCCAGGCTGCAGGTGGATCCCTGTCAAGCCAATGCCCCTCACAGCATGAGGGGATGTTTCTCTCTCTCATATCAATGTTTCTCCCCCTCTCCCTTTCTTTCTCCAAAAATCAATGTAAAAGCCCTAGCCAGTGTGGCTCAGTGGTTAGAGTGTCAAGGGCACACACCTGGGTTGCAGTTTCAATCCCCAGCCCCACCCCACCTCCACCCCCACTTCCTTCCACCATCTAAAATTCAATGGAAAAGATATCCTCAGGTAAAGATTAACAAAAAATTCCTTTGTTGAAACCTAACACCCCTGTGTTGGTCCTTGGGGATGGGGCCTTTGGGAATGATTAGGTCATAAGGATGGATCCCTCATAAATGGGATTCATGTTTTTATAGAAGAGAGACCTCAGAGGGTTCTGCACCCTTTCGGGGTGTGAGGACACAGCTCTACGAAGCAGGAAGTGGGCTCTGACTAGACACCAAGTCTGCCAGCACCTTGATCTTTGGCTTTCCAGATCAAGGAAGAGGAACAGTCTTTCAAAGCGAAGGGAAAGTCCTGTCTTAATGCTGCTAGAGAACTGCATAGCCATGTGGAAAAAACTGAGCCTTGACGCCTTGTCCACACCAAACAGAAATTAACTCAGGATGGATTATGGAACTAAGTGTGAAAGCTAGAGATACAAAGCTTCCAGAAGAAAATGTAAGAGAATAATTTTACAACTTTAGGGTAGAAGTAGGGAAAGATTTCATAGAACAGGAAATCTACCAACCTCTTGAGGCAATGTATGTATTTACCTATTAATCCTCACTGAAGGATATTTTTTCCATTGCTTTTCAGAGAGAGTGGAAGGGAGAGAGAGAGACATACACATGGATGTGCTGCCTCCCACTCTCTTGCCAACCAGGGCGGGGACTGAGCCTGCAACCAAGGTTTGTGCCCTTGACCCGATTCCAATCCGCAACTCTTCCGTCTGCAGGCTGACGCTCTAACCACTGAGCCAAACTGACTGGGGCTGGTCAATATCTTTAGGAAAAAAATGAGAAACTGATTGATCAAAATTGTATAGCTTCTCATCAAAAGACAATATTAACCTTTAAAAGACGGCAGATAAAAAGAGATAGAGATAAATAATAAATAAATAAATAAATAAATAAATAAATAAATAAATAATAAATAAATAATAAATAAATAAATAATAGAGATAAATAGTCCTGACATCATTACGCACTCCAACCATCATCATAGAAGGAGCGAGAAATAACTCGAAGTGGGAACAAAAGTTCCCATTCAGCCAGCGGGACCCTCTCCTTGCTGAGAACTAAATTTCCCTTTCGCCCGACAAAGGTTAAGAGAGTGAAATGACAAGACACAGACTGGAAGACAATATTGCATCTGCGTAACTGACAAAGGAGTTGTATCAAGAACATTGTGCCCAGCAGATGCAGCTCAGTTGGTTGAGCATCTCTCCGTGCCCCAAGAGGTCGCCAGTTAGATCACAGCTGGGCCCAGGTTGCAGGCTCAGTCCCCAGTGGGGGCCGTGCAGGAGGCAGCAGACCCATGATGTTTCTCTCTCATCGAAGTTTCTCTCTCTTCCTCTCCAAAAACCATTAGAAACATTTTTTTAAAAAGGAATACCCAAAGAACTCCTACAAATCAACAATAAAATGACACACACCCCAAAATCAGGACACTTCAAAGAAGAAAGCACTTTGGTAGTCTCCTGTGAAGTTAGACATATATACAGTGGTGCCTCAGTTTTTTAACATCTCCGTTGGCGAACATTTCGGGTTACCAACGCTGTAAACCCCAATGGTGATGCTCACCCCAATGGTGAGGCAGTTTTCGAACTGCCTCGGAAGCCCAATATGCCACGTGGCTCTCACTGAGGGCAGATCCTGAGACCCAGTGTCAGCTGTTGAGTCCTAAGCACCCGCGCAACGCGGAGGTGATATTTGGGCTTATTTGGTGACTGTGTGCAATCAATCTGTGCTCATCTCATCTCAGGAGCAGTCTTGCAACCAATTTGTTTTTGTGACTGTGTGCAGTCAATCTGTGTTCATGTCATCTCAGGAGCCCTCTGCCCATCGCCCCTTGTGAGAAATGGATGAAAGCTGCAAAGCCAAGAGAATCATGAACAGAACAATAGAGGTGAAGGAAATTATTTCCAAACATGAAAGTGGTGTCCATGTATGTGAGCTGGCAATGCAGTTTGGTATGGCCAAATCTACAACTTGTACCATCTTAAAAAATAAAGAAGCCATTAAAGGAGCTAATGTTGCAAGAGGTGTTAAAACACTTAGAAGACAAAGAACACTGACAACTGAAGAAGTGGAGAAATTGCTTTTCATATGGATAAATGAAAAACAGTTGGCCGGTGACAGCATTTCTGAGAGCATGATTTGTGAAAAAGCTTTTCATTTGCATGCTGACCTCATCACAAAAACACCCATGGAATAAGTGCTGAGCATGATATTTTCGAGGCAAGTAGAGGGCGGTTTGAAACGTTTGGCGAGACATGGTGAGCTGCCAGTGCCAACAAAGACGCCTCCGAACAATTTGTTTTGGAGCTTAAAGGTTATGGAGAGGCAGAGGGTTTCCTTCCCCAATAAGTTTTCAGCTATGGTGAGACAGGTGTCTTTTGGAAGAAAATGCCAAAGAGGACCTACATAACAAAGGAGAAATCATTGCCAGGACACAAGCCCATGAAGGACAGGCTAACCCTTTTATTTTGTGGGAATGCAAGTGGGGATTTTAAGTTGAACCCTTTGCTAGTCTACCAGTCTGAGAAACCAGGGTATTTAAGAAAAACAATGCCATAAAAAGCCAATTGCATGTGATGTGGAGACCAAACAAGAAAGCTTGGTAACCAGGCAATATTTTATTGAGTGGGTTCATGAAGTGTTCGGGCCAAGTGTAAAAAAATACGTCCAAGACAAAAATCTTCCGGGGAAGTGCCTGCTTGTTATGGATACTGCTCCAGCTCGCCCTCCAGGGTTGGAGGACGAGTTGATGGAAGAGTTCAGTTTTATCAGTGTAAAGCTTTTGCCCAACACAACTCCACTCATCCAGCCCATGGACCAGCAGGTCATATCTAATTTTAAGAAACTTTACACCAAAGTACTGTTCCAAAGGAGCTTTGAGGTGACCTCAGACACAGAGCTAACCCTCAGAGAGGTCTGGAAGAATCATTTCAATATCCCACATTGCTTACATCTCATAGACAAAGCAGGGAGGGATGTGTCTCACAGAACAGTGAGGTCAGCATGGAAGAAACTGTGGCCAGAAGCTGTCCCTGAACGTGTACTTGAGGGTGTTGAGGAGGATGCTCCTGTTGCTTAGGATACTGTGTCTCTGGGACAGTCCATGGGCTTGGAAGTGAGTAGCGATGATGTGGAGGGGTCAGTGGGGACCACAGGACTGAACTCGCCACAGAACTTCCAAACGTTCTGACAGAGCAGCAACAGGTGGCAACTGAGGAATTGTCTTCAGAGGAGGAGGGAAGAGAAAGTGTTTCTATTGCACTGATCAGAGAAACGTGTGCAAAGTGGGTTGAAGTGCAAGTTTTTGTTGGAAAATATCACCCTGATAAAGCTGCTGTAAGTCATGGCACTAACACTGTCAATGATAATGCTCTCTCTCTCTCTTCAGACAAATTTTAATCCATTGGGAAAAGCAAGTGTCAATTGAAAAATTTTTAGTGAGGAAAAGAGCCAGCGACTCTGAACCAGGGGTCATTGATATAAAAAAATCAAGGGAAGGAATGGCAGGAGAGGAGTCACCTACAATGATTCTGGAAGAGGGCCACAGACACCTGAGCAGCAGTCACCTGTTGTGATTACTGAAGGGGTCCCCCCCATCCAAACCATGACTATCATCATTGCAGGTAAGAAAAAATTACATTTTCATTTTTATCATCTACAGTACAGTACTGTTTTTACACTATGTTTATTATTGCTTTTACACTACAGTATGTTGTGTTTATTGCTTTCATTGTGTATCATTTTATGGATCTGTGGTATCATTAGATAGGAAAACTCATGTTAAATTGCTGTTTTACAGGCTGATTTTAAAGGTCTGGGACGAATTCATCCATTTTGCATTACTTTCTATGGGAAACCACGCCTCAGTTTTCGAACATTTCAGAACTCAAATGTTCTTCCAGAACGGATTACATTAAAAAACCGAGGTGCCCCTGTGTAAGCTATGGGATAGTAATTCTACTCCCATGCGCTAACCCAAGACAAATGAAAGTTTATCTCTACACAAAGGCTTGTAAAACTCATATTCTTATGAGTTTTATTCATAACAGTAAAAAACTAGAAATAACTCCAACTAGGAAAATGGATGAACAAATCATAGCACATTCATACAATGAAATATTATTAATTAATACAAAGGAAAGAATGACCCAAGTATTGCGACAAAATGAATGTATCTCAAAATTATTACATAATTTTACTAGAGGAAAAGAGAGCATATTGGTGGTGGTGCGGATGCAGGGTGGAGGGGTCAATGGGGGAGAAAAGGGGACATCTGGTTGGTGTGAGCAAAGTGGCAGAGTAGGAACCCTAGGCTCTCGTTCCACCACAGAAACCAGCTAAACACTGTGCTGGCTGAAGCAGCTTTGTGAGAACTCTAGAAACCAGTGAAGGATCTGTAGCAACCAAATGAACATACAACCGTGAAAGAGTCGTGCTCAAAATATTCCAAACAAAACCTTCAAGGCCCACTGCCTCCCTGGCGTGGAACAGTCAGGAGGGAGCCACTCGATTTCTGGTTCCTCAGGGTGGAAGGAAAAAGTGGAAGTTCTTTGCTCTGACTTTTCTGTGGGCTGTTGGGACTTTTCTGTCTTGTGTGACTCAGAGTGCTGATGGTGATGGCAGATCAGTTTGAATAGCAGGTTGGAGGCTAATGAAAGCAGGAGGGTGCCAGAGCATGGTGGAGAGCTGCAGGGGCAAGAGATTATGGGTAGAATAATACAATAGAACATCTAAGGCCCCGAGGAAATAAGACTTTTTAAAAAGCAGCTGTGTAGTGTTGGCAGCTGTGGCTTAGTTGGTTGGCGTGTCATCCTGTGGGTGGTGGGTTCGATTCCCAGGAAGGGCACATACCTAGGTTGCCAGTTCAATCCCTGGTCAGGGCAAGTGTGGGAGGCAAATGATCCATGTTTCTCTCTCTCTCTCCCCCTTCCTCTCACTAAAAAATACTCAATAAAATATTTAAAAAAAAAAAAAAGCAGCTGTGTATGTATACAGGAGAATTTGGGAGGGAAAGACAAAAAAACATACACACAGGCTCGAGAAAGATGCATGACCAGAAAAGCCCTGAGAAGACCTTAAGCCTTCATGCTGCACCCATAAGTGAAGGTCTCCCTGCTTCCCACTCCCCACCCCCATGAACAGTCCACAAAGATGGGAAATGTACCTGTTTCTTCAGATGCCCAGTTTTGAATGGGAGATCACAAAATATACAAAAAAGCAGGGAAATCTGACTCCTTCAAAGGAACACAATAAATCTCAGGAAACTCACCCTAAAGAAACACAGGCTTCAGACTTACTTGACAAAGACTTTGAAACAACAGTCATAAATATGGTCAATGAGCTACATTAGACTAACACATACGGAGGAGTAAAGGAAATCAGGAAAAAAAATTTTTTTGACAGGTTCCTATATGAACAAAATGAGAATATCAACAAAGACAGAGATTATAGAGATTCAGTTTCAAGTCTGGAACTTGAAGTTTGTCACTCTCTCCTAATAAGTAAAATGTCAAATGAACTGAAAACCAACAGCTCTTCTTAGGTCCATTAGGGAAGTGAGGTCACAGGGCAAACTGCTGACACATAAACTGGAGAGACAAACAGGAAGCTACAGAGAATCAGAACTTAACAGAGCAGAAACCTATGAACAGAAACCTCTATTGCAGCCAACACCAGGGTAAGAAAACCTAAACAAAAACTGACAAATAGCTGAAGGTTCAGCGTGAACCAGTCTGAGAGTTAAAAACTCCTGCAAGGCCCTGATGGGTGTGGCTCAGTGGTTAGAGTGACAAGGGCACATACCTGGGTTGCAGGTTTGAGTCCTAGCCTGTGTCAGGGCACCTGTGGGAGGCAACCAATCAATGTATCTCTCTCACATGTATGTTTCTCTCTCTCTCCCCCTCCCTCCTTCCTAATCTCTCTTAAAAAAATCAATGTGCCCAGCTGGTGTGCCTCAGCGGTTGAGCATTGACCTATGATTTTTCTCTCTCCCTTTCCCTCTCCCTCCCTCCCTCTAAAATCAGTTTAAAAAAACATTATAAAAAATTACAAAGCATACCAAAGAGAAAAAAAAACTTTTAAGAGACAGAGCAAGCATTAGAACCAGACTTGGACTGGCAGACATGTTGGAATTATCAGATCACACACTTTTTTAAACTAATTAATATGCTAAGGACATTTGTTCAAGTACTCTGTTTCCTTATTTGGTTAAACGTCATTTGACCACCTAAGTGAGGGTTTATTTATGGACCCTTTATTCTGTTCCATTGGTCTGTATGTCTGTCTTCATGCCAGGACCATACTTATGAATACTGTATGTTTTGATTACTGTAACTTTGTAATAAGTTTTTTTTAAAGATTTAAAAATTGACTTTGAGAGAGAGAGGAAGGGAGAGGGAGAGGGAGAGGGCGAGGGAGAGAGAAACATCTACCAGCTGCCTCCCACATGCCCCCGACTGGGGACAGAGCAGGAAACCTAGGTATGCGCCACAACCATGAATTAAACAGGCAAACTTTTGGTGCACGGGCCCCATCCAACTGAACCACACTGGCCAGAGCTAAGACTTTTTAATCAATTGAACCTAAAAGACATCCAGAACACTAATCAACACCGGATACACATTTTCCTCACGTACAGAGGTTTCTCTAGAACAGACCATATGCTAGGCTACAAAAAAAGTCTTAAGAAATTTTAAAAGATTGAAATCATACAAAGCATCTTTTAAAATTTATTTCATTATTATTTTTAAAATATATCTTTATTGATTTCAGAGAGAGGAAGGGACAAGAAGAGAGAGATAGAAACATCAATGATGAGTCATTGATCTGCTGCCTCCTGCACACCCCGGACCGGAGATCGAGCCCGCAACCGGGCATGTGCCCTGACTGGGAATCGAACCTCCATCTCCTGGATCCTAGGCCTACTACCGCTCAACCGCTGAGCCACGCCTGGCTGGGCTAAAGCATCTTTTTTTTAGTACAATGAAATGAAACTGGAAATCAGTAGCAGAAGTACAGTAGGAAAATTCACAAATATGTAGAACTAAAAATCACACTCTTAACCAATGAGTCAAAGAACAAATCAAAAGGGAAACCAGCCCAGCTGGTGTGTCTCTGTGGTTGAGCATCGACCTAGGATCCAGGAGATGGGGTTTGATTCCTGGTCAGGGCACATGGGTAGCAGGTCAATGACTCTCATCATTGATGCTTCTCTCTCTTTCTCTCTCTCCCTCTCCCTTCCTCTCTCTTAAGTCAATAAAGACATATTTAAAAAAAAAAAAAAGAGAAACTGGAAAACACCTTGAAAGAAATGGAAATGAAAACACAGCCTACCAAAACTTAGAAGATAGAGGGAAAGAAGGGCTAAGAGAAATGTTAGCTGAGAAAGTTTTCATTAGAAAAGTTGGTTGGAGCATTGACCCATAAACCAAAATCTTATGGGTTCCATTCCTGGTCAGGGCGCCTATGGGAGGTGGTGGATCGGTGTATCAATGTTTCTCTCTCTCCCTTCCTTTCTCTCTAAAAATCAAAAAATCAGCCTGGCCAGGCGTGGCTCAGCGGTTGAGCATTGACCTAGGATCCAGGAGATGGAGGTTCAATTCGGGGTCAGGGCACAGGCAGGGTTGCGGGCTCGATCCCCAGCAGGGGGCGTGCAGGAGGCGGCCCATGCATGACTCTCCTCATTGGTGTTTCCATCCCTCTCTGTCTCCCTTCCTCCCTCTGCAATCAATAAAGACATGTATTTTTTTGTAATTTTTAACGAAAGAAATTGGATAGCCCTGGCTGGCGCGGCACAGTCGGCTGGGTGTCCCCTGGTGCCAACAGGCTGCCAGCATGATTCCCATTCCGGACACTCCCTGGTTGCAGGCGGGGAGGCAGCTGATAGATGTCTCTCCCCGCCCCAAATCAATGGGGAAATGCCGGGCGAGGGGTAACACCCACAGGAAAGAGTGGTCATTACCTTAAGTAAAACTCCCAGAAGAACATGAGGAAAATTTCATGACATTGGACTTGACAGTGACACAGTCAAGGGAGAAAAAGGAAGCCCTGGGACTGGGAGGGTGTTTCCAAGCCCCATGTCCGACCCACTGCCGTCTCTGCGACACCCTTTGCGCGGCCCCGCGGGACACGGTGTCTCCTGGTTCGTCACGCTGCTTCCACGTCCGCGGTATGTGGCCAAACCACGGCGAGGGCCCACGAGTCTGCAGCGGCAATCGCGCCTCCGCCCTCCCTGCCTCGTAGAGCTGGCGGCCCGCGGCGTCCTGCGGTGCTCGGGGAAGGCCGGAGGCGCGAGGCCTGCTGGTTTCTTCGCTTGCTTTTCTGAGGGAGAACATACCAGTTTTTATTGCGCGTTCCTTTCACACAGAACCCCGGCACCCCGCGCCTCGGGGCGGGCCTGC